TTTTTTTTTTTTTTTTTTCTTTTTCCTCGACCGAGTACTCGCCGTTGTCCTGCATCCGGTCGCGCACAGTGATTATATTCGACTCGGCATGCGTGCAACGAGAGTGAAACGAAAGAGAGAGAGAGAGAAAGAGGGAGGAAGGAAGCGACGAAGTAGAATGTTGCGCAGGCAAGAAGCGAGAGAGAAAAGCGAGAAAAAGGGAAGAGAGTCGGAACAGATACCGAAATTAACTGCGCGGGGCAAGATCTCATTAGCATTTCGCTGGTGGTGGCTCGTTTCGCGGCGACCCAGTGCCCGGCAACCTAGCTTGAAAATAATCGCGCGTTAGCCGAGTTTTCGCCGCGAGGCGAGCGCGATACTTTTCTTCGAATCGTGCCCGACGACCGACAAGACGCCCTGAAATTGGCCGACGATTTATCGCGCTGCATTATTTACCCCGCCACTGCCAGCTGCGGCCGCCGCCGCTCGCTTTTCACCCAACGTTCTTTCCCCCGCGATTCGCGCTACGTATGAGTTGTTAAATATTAATCAGCGTGCGCTCCACGTTATTTCGACGTGCTCGTGTCTTACTTTCCCTCGTTCGTTCTTCTTTCCTCCCCTCTCCCTCCGTTCCTCGCTCTCATCGCCGACTTGATATTAAATTTTGCGCAATTTTAATTCAATTCTTGAAATTCAACGTCGCCGGTCTCATTTTCTACAGCAACGAACGAGAACTCGTAACGCGGAGGAACGACGTCGCGATCGCTCGTTCGAAAAGTATTCCAGGTAGAAAAGACCTCAAATAGACACCGGTGCCACGGATCTGCCTTGAAACGACGTGCCGAATGGAGCCGGGAGGGGAAGTTAAACGAAGCGAATAAAAGAATTAGACCAGGAAAATTGAATTCAGCCGGTCGGGGAGAGACGGGGGATCGAAGTGGCTGAACACACAAAGGCCACGGGGATCCAGAAACGGCAAATGTATCAAGAATCGTACATCTTTAATCAACTTGGATTCGTTTTTCGTCGAGCGCGTTGCACTTTCTCATCTCCTCGACCCGTCTTCTCTTCTTCACTGGCTACGATAACAAAGCTCGGAGGCCGAATACCACTCTCTACAAATAAGTTCGATACATCGCCTCCGATATCCACGTTAAGGAGGAAATCGCTCAAGAAGACGTTACACGTTCGACCTCGATTCCTTTTACCTTATTACAATACCGCCGCTCCGAAAAAAGCTCGGTTCGTTTGTGCCGCGACCGAAGACTTTATGACCCGGAAAGGGAAAGCTAAACCACGCGAATGTGAAGGAATTGGACTGCTGGATTAGGAGAGGGGGGAGTAGTTCGAAACCCAGGAAGAAGGGTAACGAAAAGGACATCCATAGGGAGAAGAAATCGTTCGGTGTGCTCGCTCTCGTCCGACTGGTCTGGATGACCACGGTTGTTCTGCCTCTGCGAGATTACGATCATAACGAAAAACCTTCTTGCTCCCATTGCCCGTCAAGTTTCTCCTCTTTCTCTTTCGTTCCTGCGCTCCTGAACCCTTCCGATCCTTTCTTCTCGCTCTGCGTCCCGTCGCGAGGCTGTTCACCTCCTTTTTCTTCCTGCGACGTCGCTCCCCGCGTGTATGAGAACGTCCGGCGACGGCTGCATCGCGCGGAGCATTGCGAGCGGCACGGCATGCATTATGGAACGGGCAGGCAACGATTCTACCGGAAAAATTGCGGACACGCGAGACGGACGCGATCTGCAGTCTGACTACCTACCTACGTAGACGTGTACCTAAGCACCGACCCGCCACTACTCTCGACTACTCCGCTGTAGTCGCCGGAGAAGATTGCTTTCCTATATTGCATCCTCCGCTACTCCCCGTGTCGTCTCTCTCTCAATCTCTCTCTCTCTCTCTCTTTCTTTCCCCGTACACGCGTTACGACTCCTTTCCATTTCACAAGAAACGCTCGAGATCTCTCTATAACGTAGACCCGACCCGTTAACAACGTCAACGTCCAGCGATGATAACCAGCCACGGTTTGATCATTTGAGGTCAAACGACTCGCTGAAGAGGAGCGACAGTTTGTACAGTTTCGATCGGTAGGGGAATTTCACTCGTTCGACCAAGAATGAAGCTCGACAACGGGGCAGGAAGCGACGGCGGAATTTTTCATCACGACCAACTCGCCGCGCCAATTGAATGTTAATAAGTATCGATTACAAAGCGAGTAACTTCAATGGCAACGCGTCGATCCTCTAATGAAGGTTGAAAGATCGGCGGCATGTACCGACAACATGCATTAATCATAACCAGTGGCACGGTTGTTCGACTGCAATCAGACGGTCGAGCGAGCATGCATGAATAAGCTCTCTGCCGATATCATTGCTTTCTTTTCTTTTTTTTTTTATCGAAAAATTTGATTAACCTTCTTTTTATAGAAAACTTTCATTAACCTCGTCTAATCATCCGCCTATTTTTCTTCGTTTCGCGCTCGCTACGGTGAATTTTGTCCGTGTCACGCCGATCTGAGACGGAATTCTTCGCGATTGCTCATATATTATTCCGCTGGTAGCGCGCTGACTTTCTGCTTGGGAACCGGGCCGAAGCTGAAATTATAATCGGTTCTCGCCGACGGAGAGGAGTTCGCCGGCGAGACGAAATTGCTGTCGTCAATCGCGAAGGGTAATCGGAAGAGGAGAGAAAGAGGGAGGCTGACAGTGACGCGGCGCGATGCCGAGCGAATTCCCGTCGACGACGGGAAATTCCGCGCGAAGTAGCCTACGTTGGTCGAGGTAAAGCCGTTACATAAAGAAAAAAAAAAGAAAAAAAAGAAAGAAAAAAATGAAAAAGGAAGAGAAATATTCGACGACGAATGTGCAAATGAGGACGAGGAAAGAGGAGGAGGATAGGCTCGTCGAAGCGTTCGCGCGGTTGCTCGTGTAACGCTGGCTCGCGTCCCGTTTGCATCGCGGAAAAGCCGCGCGAGAGAAGCGGTGAAAAAGAAAAAAAAGAAAAAAAAAAATAGAAGAAAGAAACGAACGAATGGGCGCGCGCGCGTTAGCCTATCTCCCTTTAACGCGTTAGCTAGACACCGATGTTATGAAGAACCGGCTAAAGTGACAACAGCCGCGCAACGCCGATGAAAGGGAGGATAACGGCGTAATCCCCTTGAGTCCGGTTCCATTGAAGGAGGGTTTGCGTCAACAGATGCGGCAGGATAACGACGTTTTAAATTTAACAGTGCTCGAAAATAAACCGTGCACGAGTGCCGCGTGCCTTCGAAAATTCTATGCGTGGTCGCGTGGAATCGTGGCCTCCCCATCTAGAGCGAAATTAAACCGGTTCGCAACCGTTCGCCACCAGTTGAAACGTGGTACTTGCAGCGCGGGTGATGTTTGCCTTGTTAGTTTATCGAGCTTCAAACTTTCTTTAATCGGCGTGTACCGTTTCGACGAAGCTACGTCTCCTGCACCTTTCTTTCTCGTCCTGTTTACTACCTATACGCGCACGATAGGACGTTTTTCACGTGTCATTGTTCATTCTATCGCGTGACACGCGTACTCGTCGTGGATACCAGTTCAGATCTCGGCTGCTCGAATTCGAAATTGTTATCCGTCCCATCGAGCCGCGCGAGATACGGGCCCGAGGAAAAATACGGTTTCGATAAAAGCGATACATCATATGCCGGTGGACTGAAAATCGTCCCAAGATAATCGTCCTTTCCTCCGAGACAGAAAAAAAAATAAATAAATAAATAAAACGAAGACAGAAGAGTGTCGTACAAAATGACGAGCACGCGTAATGACAAGCCGCTGGTTTCAGTTGGTAAGATTGATAACTATCCGATGCACCGATCGAAACGAGAAACCCATTACTTATCCTCGCAAGGACTATCATTATGAGCGCGTTCCCCCTGCATACACGGTCCTGCTATTTCGAGCGATCGGCGCACCGGGATCGGTAGCATAAGAGTAATTAGTCGAAATTATTCCACGTCAACGTTCGCGGGATGAATGTAATTTCGCGAAACGGTCATCATTCTCGACCACGCGGTTCTCGGCTACGCGAGTCTAGGAAACGATAATAACCATCGTTTATTCGTTTCTTTCTTTTTTTTTTTTTTCTTTTTTTTGTGCGCGCGTAAGAATTTTCCGTACAGAGTCCCGTCGATAATTTCGAGCATTAAGAGCTTACGAGCTGATGGCCGAAGGGGGTTGAGAAAACTCGAGCCATCGTCTGACAACGATCGCGACGGAAATAACGTGACGCTCTTAAGGACACTTACCTGAAGATGGAGCTGTCCGTTGTTGTCCACCCATCCAATGACCATGTCAGCTCCAACGGTGCCGTCATCCCTCGTGAAACCGAGACCCACGTAGCCGAGGGTCTTCACTTGAATCTCGAACATCACGTCCCTCTCGCCAGGCGTCCAAAGAACTAAGAAGTTATTGTCCAGGACGGCGCTGTGTTTCCACTCGACGGAGACGACGCCGGTGACGAAGAGGAGAAGGAGACACGTCGCGATTACGGCCTTCATCTTTTACGAACGATGCGCCTCAGAACATCTGCGAACAAAGAAAATCGTCGCGCCGTTAAAACCATTCTCCGTCTCCTTTTATACCTCAATTCAGTAAATTGCCTTCAATTTACACTTCAATTCAGTTCTGATATTTTGATTTTTGCAAATGTAAAATATTACTGCACAAACGGGAGAAGAAGAATTATTACGTTTAAAATTCGTGTTTTCACACGCTAAAACCAAATTGTCTCCCGCGCCTTCCATTCTTATAATCCAGCCGTTGTATACATACTGTGTTCCGCGAACCCCGCAATTACAAGCTCCGCCTCGAGTCCTTACGCGGAAAAGCGTACACTTTCGCCGCGTAGGCTAACACGCGCGAGCTAACCAACGTACGCGGCAGAGAGTCGTGCGCGTCGATACACCGCGAGAAGCGCCGTAACTCGCGTAACTCCACGCCGGCGTCCGATCGTTAGGCGACTATTTAGCCGTTTTACGCGGTCGTAACACGCGGCCCCGGTTTATATTTTCCTTCAATATTTTAAGAGCGGTGGCCGGCCATTAGCCACGCGTAACCGGCGCACACCGGGCCAAGCCGCACGGTTCTTTAAAGCGTAAACGATTCTGGAAGCCACCTATACCGGTGGAGCATTTGGCCAACCGTGCGGTGCTCGATTCTTCCTATTTCGCATGCGACCCGTTTTATCGCGTTTAAGTGCGCCCCTGTGTGCACGTTCGTCCCGGTATTTTCACTCGTTTCCCACGTAAAATCGTATTAGCCTCTTTACCGTCGGTTTCTGCCTCGAACCACGCTCCGCCACTTGGCCCCGATAGAGATCCGCCCTCCCTACCCTCTTCTAGCCACCGCGAATTAGCCCAGAGACGACGGGGGCTGCACACGTCCAGAGAATTACGTCCAACGTAGGAAAATCTGTCTGGCTGACGCGCGGTTGAACCGATATCGTAGCGTAGACGAAGAAACGAGATTGATTCATTTCGTCAATGGGCCTAATGGGATCGCGAGGCTCCAGCTAGCGCGCCACCGTTAAATCGAAAGATTAATCGCCGAGCCGATTCACGAACGATGATTGATGCCGACCTTAATTCGCGATCAAAGCGGCTCGACTTATCAAGAATCAAAACCGATATCACCGGTATTATTCTTGCGTCGGTTTGTAAGCTGTCGCGCGTCGATTTAGCCGACTATCAATTTCACTTTACCGCCGGCGCTCGGAGTGTGCTCGTCCGTGGACGGAGATTGGTACGGAACGTAATTAACGTTACCGAACGAGCGAGCGAGTGGAAAAACGCATACACACACCGTGGGCAAGGAAAGAAAACGTACGAACGATGGGGAAAAGGGTGAGATAGGTGGAAAAAAAGAGGGGGCAAGGAAAGCTCGTCGATTCGTCGTTTGCGGAGCGCATTCGTGGCAATGAAGCAAGACGCGAGCCGCAACGCCCTGTTCGAGGGATGAAAAGAAAAAGTGGATTCGCGGCCGCGTGAATTAAGCGGACGTGGCAGCGCACGTTCACGGAACTGCGCACCGCGAGCAGCAACTAGCAAAAATAACAAGAACGACGAAGCAAGGGAAGAAGCAGCGGAGAACAGGCGACGATGCTGACGTGAAAAGTGGAAAAAAATTCGTAACTGGTGTTCGTAATGGCGACGATGAAAAACCAAAAAAAAAGGAAAAAGAAAAACACGGGCAAAACCAAGCGCAAGGGAAATCGAATCGATTTCATTGTCGATTAAAAATTCAATGAGCACGCGTGTACGCAGGTGAACGGTCGCGGCGATGGTTTTTAGGGCGAGTCGGTCGCTAGAAACGGCTGGACGATTCGCAAAAGTGATGAGGAGCTAGAGGGATGGGGAGTGGAAAAACAGATGGCCGACCGATGAAATCTCTTTTGTTGCAGCCTGATGCGCAAACATCCGTTGGTAAATCAGCAGGACGCTGTCGAACGAACGCTGTCAATTCGAAAGCAATCGAATCGATTTATAGTAACAATCGTGCGACGCCCGATCGATGCAAATGAGGTCGTACGACTCGCGGTTACCAAGTGTCAGACGAGTGGACGCCGCGCTCCATTCAACAATTTGTTTCCGTGCGCCGGGGAAAGCGGAGAATTAAGCGTTTCATAGAGATCACCGGATCGGTGTAACATTGACTCTCTCTCTCTCTCTTCCCTTTTAACACACACACACACACACACACACACACACACACACATACTCTGTCACTCACTGTTCCGTCTGTCTGAAAAATACGCATGACACGAGCTACCGGTCTCTCTTCGCTCCGGCCACGTGTTCTGCACAATTTCAAGCACCGCGGAACGACCACGGATCTGCGACCGATCGTTTTAATTAACGACGCAACAGTCACTGTAATGCACGCCCGTTCAAGCAAGACAGACACGCAACGGTGTCGAGCCGGTCATTTTCCGCGTGTTGATCAGAATCGATAGCCTCTCGATAGCCCTCTGCCTCTCCCTCTCTTCCTACGCGTCTGATTCGCGACAATGGTTTTTCACCGTTCCGTTAAAATCCAACCGGCGTAATCCCCGTGGTATTACCTCGGCACTGTTACGGCGAGTTCAAAATGATCCGACCACCCTATTGGTTTACGGTAATTTGAAAGCTCGAATCAGCCAGAGAGGAGGCTGATTCGTGCAATTTTTTGTTCTTCGTTTTTTTTTTTTTTTTTTTTTTTCTCCGCCCGATAACTGCAACTCGAGCCGAACCGAGTTTGCACTTTCATATTTTTCCAAATATCACGTTGCACATGATGCGATAGGTAAATCTTTAATTGGATAACGTCGAACGATTAAAACGGCGGTTACTTTGCGCGCCGAAAACAAAATCGAACAATCGATCGTATAACGAGGCTCGATTACGCCGGATTAAAGTGAAATTCGACTCGTATTATCTTCGAACGAGACCTGAATTTCAACTGCTTTGTGCACCGTCAGTTCGAACGAATATTTAAACGTGCGCCAACGAAGAATACACGCGGACGCGATTGAAAACGGGATCGGAGGAAAAATGCGTTCGTGCGAGATACTTACGAGGATCACTGTGAGAGATCGTTAGTACCTTTCCTCCTCGTCTCGTCGACGGGTACGACGCGGAACGAAACGTCTGAAAACGTGAATGACCGATTTGAGAACGACTTCGACGCCGCCGGCTGGAAACTGGGTCAAGCAACGAAGTGATTCGCGAGGATTCTACACGATCTTGTGAAACATAATCATTTCAAACGCTACACACAGCGTCATTGGAGGAACGGGGGTGGTGGGAGGGTGGGAGGGGGGGGGGGAACTTCGACGCCGACGAGGACCGGAAACCTCAAATAAGGTCATACAAATAGTCAAAGTTCAACCTACAATCAAACAGCATGGCGGAAACTGCGGCGGAGTTTCGAGCGCTCGTCAACCGGCTTGTTTCGCGACCGTCCAATTCTTCGTAATTGCTTCTTTAATAGCCGAGCATATTTCGGGCGCAAAGCTTACCGCGAACAGTGGAAATCCATTAACCTGATTGACAAATGCAATTCGTTTTTATCCGTTGCCGCGAGACGAGAAGCGCGGCGTTGAACCGTTCGGTCTCTCGCGACGCGGAGCCGAGCGACACACGAGTGAGAGGTGGCAATTCATCAAAGAACGTGAAATCATCCGTGACGAAACAGGTGGATCCGGCTGCGATCTCGAATCGCAGCAGGCAACCTGTTTCTCGCGACGCGCGTTAAGCCGAATCGTTATCCGGTTTCTCGAACCGGCACGACCGCCGGTGTATTCACATATACACCGAATTTGCGGCGCGTTCGGCTGTACGTTCGCCGATTCCGTGTGTACAAGCGCGTGAGGCCGTGCGTGTGTCACGGCGATCGGCTCGCGCGGCCTCATCCCACCCCACCGACGGCAGTTCTCGCTTATGCATGCGGCATGCGCGACGTGATTTCGCCGATTTTACGGTGCTAGTAGAGCAACCGCCAATCTGAAAACGATCGATTCAATTAACAGTAACAGCGGTGTAATGCGCGCCGGATACGAGGTGATGCATCGGCAGGAGCAGCTGTCGCGCGGCAACTCGAATCGCTCGACCATACAGAGAAGCGTCAACTCAAATTGAGAGGACAGTCGAGGTCCGCGAAACGAAAAGGGTGACAGCAGAGGGTGAGGTTGGCATATAGAGGAGGGTAGTTGAAGAGGAGGTAAAGCGAGAGAGCGACAGAGAGAGAGAGAGAGAGAGAGGGAGAGGGAGGGATAAAGAGTGAGAGCACGATGGTAAATGACAAAGAGAACGCGAGTGGTACGCGAGAAAGAGGTGGCGGATGGACGATAGTGGAGGAGAGAAAAGGGTAGTTGGAGGGGAATGCAGCCAGGTCGGAGGTGAGCCTAGCTAACACACGACTACCACGGACGGGTTTGATTTGCGGCGTGTCGTTCAGTCGATTGCTCTCAAATTGCGTCCAGCGCCAGTGGCATCAACCTGGAACGTAGCCCCAATACATTGACGCCTCCGAACGTCAGAGAGACCTACGCTCTCCCTCTCTCTCTCTCTCTCTCTCTCTCTCTCTCTCTCTCGGCTTTTCCATCCATGTACGCGCTCGTGCATCCGCCTATTCTCTTCCCTTTTCGCACCCTGCAAAACCACACATCGCTCTGTCCCTTTTCACCGCGGAACTCTTCACCTTCTCCCACCCGTGTTTCGCGCCCTGTACGATTCCGGTCGGCCACCACTTGGCCGTTCGACTCCTCTTAAAGTTAAATAAATCGTGAAGTGGCCCCGGCTACAGCGGCGAAATCGAAATGGCTGGAGGGTTGCGTGCAGATGCGGAGCGTGAATGCGATCGCGGATTAAACAGAGGCGACACGCTGCGCCACGGGAACGTTGTTTGAGAAGGGGATGCTCGATGACACGTGAAACCAAGTCACGGTTTCCTTCGGTCTAACGACCGACGAGTTTTCAGCCACCTCTCTGTATGCAGGTGGCTAGCGTTAGATGGAAACAAACGAGGGAAAATGTTCAACGTACAGAGAC